TTGTGAACATTGCTGAAAACTAAATATGCCTACTATATTTATTAATTATTTCTCATTTTTATAATCTGGACATAGATTTTTTTCACGGACTCATATATAAATCAATCAATATTATTATTATTAATTATTAAAATCATTACATATGTTTAAGAGAGAGAGAGAGAGAGAATTAAAAATCTTGCCTTGAATATATAGTAGCAGGTCTAAATACTTATAATTGTCCAGTACATAAAGTATGGCCCGTAATCGCTACACTGATCTGGGCCACACACCTCCCATCCACAATCGGCCCAAATGTAGTCTGCCGTCATGCATGCAGTGCCATCATTGCTAGGCATGGCCCATAGTCGGCTGACATGATGCATGCCAGTGCCGGCAACAGGCCAGCAGTGCCATTATGAGGCCACATTTGGGCCAAGTCCGTTTGCTATGTGGGTGGTAGAGACTGATGGGGGGTGCTGCAGGGAAACAGAAAGTATCTTTGTCCCATTGGAGGGGTTTCTAGAGCGACAGGGTTTACAAACCACCAGAAAGACTACATTTATAGCCAAATTGAAAACGAGAAACAAAAAAAAAAACGAGAGACAGAGAGGATATGGATGTAACATGTTGAATTGAGTGAAAAAGAAAATGTTGCAATGTGTTATTGCAAAAGAAAAAGTTTCTGTGTATTATTGAAAAAGAAAATGTTGTTGATGAAGAAGAAAATGTCAAATATTACTGCAAATGAAGTGAAGTGAAGTGAAGTGACATGTGGCCAAGTATGGTGAAGTATGCCCGGGGAGCAGTTGGGGGTTCGGTGCCTTGCTCAAGGGCACCTCAGTCATGGTATTGAAAGTGGGAGAGAGCGCTTTACATTCACTCTCCCCACCTACAATCCCTGCCGGTACGAGACTCAAACCCGCAACCTTTGGGTTACGAGTCCGACTCTCTAACCATTAGGCCACAACTTCCCCCATGTAATGTGTTGGTGAAAAAGAAAATGGTGTGAAATGTTGGTAAAAAAAGAAAATGTTAAATGTTGGTGAAAGAAAATGATGCAATGTGTTATTTAAAAAGAAAATGATTAGTTGTTGAAGAAAAGATGCTCTGCTTAGCTGAAAAGAGGAAGTGTAATGATAGGGGCTCCATTACACATGATGCA